TATGATCTAATGATGGTCACGAAATCCTACTCGAAACCAAAAATAAGTGATCTACTCATGTTTGATTACTGGATTGAACGACTCAACTAGTCGGATTGATGATAGTTAAAATTATGTCCATATTCATTGAGCTCATCTTTTATGCTCCTTGACTTAATTTTACGTAACTTCAGAATTACGTACTTCGATTCATGCTTTTGCTTGGTACACTAAATCTTGATGGCTTTGGATTGAGATTGCGCTCCCCCTAGGTGCTCATAGTTAAGCTTGCTGGTTTCATACCCTGAATTACACATACATACAATCTGCTATAATAGTATTCATATTAACTTTTAGAGAAGCAAACTAAATAATTTTGCATTTATCTATATATTTGTATTAAGTTCTCTTTCATTTTTGAGTCTATATAGCATGTGAGTTTGAGCGTATGAGTGTTCTTGGCTTTTTATGTCTGAAAGTTTCAATAATAATGTTGTCCAAATGTGATAATGTCTGTCAATTTGCACAAAAGACCAAAACTCAGCCGAACAGGATGTCTTGCGGGCAGCAACAACAGGAAGATAATGCTAAAAATAAATCGGCTTTAGAACTGTAGGAATCAGTTATTGTTCAGTGTTGAAATTGACTCACGAATTGCTTTACCGGAGCACGAAATAAAAGCCCAGATTCCTTTTAGAAATTATGTCTTTTGAAAATGCAGTTCTCATAGGCATGTGTGTCAATGCTCTTAAATCATAATTATCCCATCTGTCTTTCTCTTGATGGCATCTTCCAGAAGTACCATGTTTAGTAAGGCCAATTTATGTTTCCCTATCTCCTCAGGCATTTACAAAAGTCTTCATAGAGCAGAACATTATGCCGATCGAGAACCTCGCATCTCAAATTGACGAGTGGGAACGCAACCTGTCGCGTCACATCAACCATCTGGATGATATCGCCGCCGTCATGGAGACCCTGCGACAAATCCGTGAGGTTGAGATAGACGTCGATCGTGAATTGATGAGCTGTGAGGACGCCAGTTCTCTTTTAAGCAAGTACGATGTTGTCTTTCCAAAAGACATCAGTGATCGTGTTGAGTTGGTGCGTTGTGCGTTTATTCGAGCCAAAGAACGTGTCGTCACGGTACTCGACTACATACTTTCTGTGCAGCAGAGTTACAAAGAGGGCCTATTCAACTCGATAAAGTCTCTACATGAGCAGGCTGGCATTTTTGAGGCAGAATATCTCGAGGTGAGCCTTTAGTTGACTTGGCAACTGTTAAGTTTATTAATCTCGAATGATTTCAAAGACCGCATTTATTTTGTTGTTTTTTTTTAACATGTATTCGTTTTGAGTAGGCTTTCGAGATTATCATTCTATCCTAAATGCGATCCATAGATAGCCTAGATCGCACAAAGTGATTCAGAGCTGATTGTGAATTCCACTAAACCCTGATTACAAAAGAGTATCTTAATTCAAGCTGGACTTGACTGCCTTACAGCATATGCGAATAAAAGTTGGGTTACGAATAATCTCTTTGTATATCATTGTTGAGCTTATTTTCATTTCGATGGCACAAGAGCGGACACACGTTTGGTTAGGTTGACGAACTTATTATTTTCATGTTTAAGAAAAAAAGGGGCTAGAAAGTACAGTTTGCCTGACCTTGCGCAGTCGTGGTAAGGAATAAAATATAAACATCTTATAAAATACATAAAGATATGGGTTGATTGTGGTCATCAAACCTTAATGGCCGAAAACAGGCGTTAATTTTAGTCATCAATACTAGTTCGTATATAGGCGGACACAAGAGAACAGATACACATACACAGACAGACACACTCAAATGCTTCGAGGTTGACATATGACTGGAACTAGCCAAATCACTTTATATCTCATCGAAATGCTCAAAAATAGA